AGAGATTTTGGGGCTCCAGGGAAAATTTGGGGCTCCAGTAGAGATTTGGGGGGTTCAGGGGGAATTTCTGGGGGGCTCCAGGAGAGATCTGGGGAGTTCAGGAGAAATTTGGGGGTTCAGGGGGAATTTTTGGGGGGGGATCCAGGAGGGATTTGGGGTACCAGGAGAAATTTGGGGCTCCAGGGGGATTTTTTGGGGGAGTTCAGGAGAGATTTGGGGGGTTCATAGGGATTTTTTGGGGGCATCCAGGAGAAATTTGGGGCTCCAGAATAAATTTGGGGGTCCAGGAGAAATTTGGGGAGCTCATGAGAGATTTGGGGGGGGTCCAGGAAAAATTTGGGGGCATCCAGGAGAAATTTGAGGGGTTCAGGGGGAATTTTTTGGGCCTTCAGGAGATTTCAGGGTCCAAGAGAAATTTGGGGGATTCATGGGGATTTTTTTTGGGGGGGTTCAGCAGAAATTTGGGGGTGCAGCAGGAATTTGGGGGTGCAGCAGCTTTATTGTTGCGAAACGGGCGAATAAAAGCAAATTTTGGTACAAAATTTTGTTAAAATTTCAAAAAAATCCAAACTGATCCAACTCCTCCCTCCCAACCCCCCCCCCCCCGTTTCCCTTCAGACACCCCAAAAATCCCCAGGGGGTGGGGGAACCCCAAAAACAACCGGGGACCCCCCAAAATTCACATCAGGTAATGGGGAGACCCCAAAAATGCTGAAGGGACTCCAAAAGCATCAAAGGGACCCTAAAAGTGCCAAAGGGACCCCAAAAACGCCAAAGGGACCCCAAAAGTGCCAAAGGGACCCCAAGGGACCCCAAATCCTCCCTCCAACCAATGGGGGGACCCCAAAATTACCAAAAGGACCCCAAAACCAGCAAAGGGACCCCAAAATGCCAAAGGGACCCCAAAAGGACCCTGAAGATGCCAAAGGGACCCCAAAAGCTCCAAAGGGACCCCAAAGGGACCCCAAAGATGCCAAAGGGACCCCAAAAGCATCAAAGGAACCCCAAAAGCACCAAGGGGACCCCAAAGATGCCAAAGGGACCCCAAACCCTCACTCCTGACAATGGGGGGACCCCAAAAGCCCCAAAGAGACCCCAAAGATGCCAAAGGGACCCCAAAAGCATCAAAGAGACCCCAAAGATGCCAAAGGGACCCCAAAAGCATCAAAGGGACCCCAAAGATGCCAAAGGGACCCCAAAAGCCCCAAAGGGACCCCAAAGATGCCAAAGGGACCCCAAACCCTCACTCCTGACAATGGGGGGACCCCAAAGATGCCAAAGGGACCCCAAAAGCCCCAAAGGGACCCTAAAAACACCAAAGGGACCCCAAAGATGCCAAAGGGACCCCAAAAGCCCCAAAGGGACCCCAAAGATGCCAAAGGGACCCCAAAAGCATCAAAGGGACCCCAAACCCTCGCTCCTGACAATGGGGGGACCCCAAAAGCCCCAAAGGGACCCCAAAAGCACCAAAGGGACCCCAAAGATGCCAAAGGGACCCCAAAAGCACCAAGGGGACCCCAAAGATGTCAAAGGGACCCCAAAAGCACCAAGGGGACCCCAAAGATGTCAAAGGGACCCCAAAAGCCCCAAAGGGACCCTAAAAACACCAAAGGGACCCCAAGGATGCTAAAGGGATCCCAAAAGCATCAAAGGGACCCCAAACCCTCGCTCCTGACAATGGGGACACCCCAAAAGCCCCGGAGCCCTCAGCGGAGGCGCACCGGGAGCCCGTAGGCCACGGGCGCGGCCCCGATCAGGGATTTGAGTCTGGGGGCGCCCCGGGCCTGGGCCAGCTGGGCCAGCAGGGGGGTCCCGGGGCCGCCCCCCAGCCACCCCCGCAGCAGCGCCCGCGCCAGCCGGTCCAGGTCCCGGTCCGTGACGTCCCAGAGCGTGCCCAGCGCCAGCGGGCTGGGGAGCAAAGGGGTTAGAGACCCCCAAAAAACAGAGAGACCCCCAAAAAAGAGAGACCCCAGCGCCAGCGGGCTGGGGAGCAAAGGGGTTAGAGACCCCAAAAACAGAGAG